TTTTTTTAGTTATTAGAATTTTTAAAAAAAAAAAAAAAAAAAAAAAAAAAACAATCCGTTGTGTGATGATGTGACCATCTAATTTCCCTCTGGATAGTTTGCATTAACATCTAACAAATGACCAGTTTGGATTTTAGTCAGTTTTTAGATCGCCTATTAGAATAACAAGGTAATCAAAACATACCAAAACAGGTATGTGAAAGCAAAAGTTGCTGACGAATCAGCTTTCACTTGCTGCTTGTGTCAGCCTTTTTGGTAATATGAGTGATAGGAAAATGCAGGTCACTGGGTTGCATAAAACAACCAGTTTTAAAAATTTATGGTGTCAGGTTTTTGTATCAGTAGATAGAATCTCTCAGCTGTCAAACAGCAGGGAGAAGAAAATAGATCACACTATCTTGACTGTTATTTTTATTGTTTACATTTTTAACCAGTTTTGTTTGTGTATGGAAGCATGCATTTTATTAAATGAAATATGAGAAAATATGTCAGATAGTTATAAAATCTAGAACAACTAATGATTACCGTATTTTTCGGATTATAAATTGCTACTTTTTTTTCCACATTTTGCGCCATGCGGCTTTTATGTGGATTTTTCTTCAACCACCAGGGGGCTCTGTAGCAGGAAATGAATCATTGGAAGTCAGAATTGGAACTCAAAGAAGAAAGCGCTAATCTTCATTTCGAACAAGCACATGCTAGCAGCAGGCACGACGGAGAAATGTTTTCAAAACTCATTCCCCCTCATCATGGAAATCACACGAAGAAGTTCATGTGATGCCGCTTTTAAGTTGAAGGCCATCGATCTGGCAGTACAGATCGATAACCGCTGCACGTAAACTCGGCGTCTTTAATAGATTTATTAAGGACGTAAATCGCGTCCTCTGCTGCATCCTTGTGGAAAACCGAGAGCTGCGGAGATGCCAGCGGCTTATAGTGAGGTGCGCTCTATAGTCCAGGTAATACGGTAGATTTTTCAAAAGAATATGTGCATTAATGTAGTCTGACTTTGTTTGATAATTAAAAAAATAATAATAATTCAGTCATAACAAGTATTGTGAAGACTTGGCCTGCCTATATGCTTATTTGGGATTTTGTTATCTTGTCATGTGAAGTTGCCCACCTTGTCATGGATGGATGGATGAATTAAATATTATGTCACAAGATGTTCATTCATCTTAACAATCAAAAGATAAGAACGATAAAATTATGTAATTCACAAGTATCAAACACCTTGTTGCATTTGATCTTAAAATGCTGTCTTTTGCTTCTCAGAGAAAATTTATGATGAACCATTTATTATCCCAGCCTCTCCCAAAGACCGCCTAAAGTAGCTTTTCTGTTAACAGGATGGTTCTACTCGGTCTACTCGGTCTTGCTCACTTCCTCCCATCATTTACATCCCCGGTGTTTTGCTTGGTGAATTTGGCAGATAAATGTCTCGTGGGTAGTGAAACATTTTCCATCTCATAGGCACAGACTATTGGGGCAAAGTCCTTTTTCAGCAAGGCCAAAGTCATCTGTAAAACCAGCGGTGTGGTAACATCAGCTAGATCAGTATATGCAATTACTTTGTTGTTGTTTTTTTTGCTTGTTTTTATGGAACAAAATATTTAATATTGAGAAAAAAAATAACAGTAAAGTGTTCCTTTGCTGAAATGTAAAGTATGTACGTAGATAGGGAAGCTGAGGCATTACATATGCAATAATGACAAAGAAATTCTTTGAATGACACAATCTTATAAGGATATCTGGCTCTAGCACTGTAAACCTGGCTGTTTCTTATTTATGTGCAAATGCACTGAGTCCCGAGCCCGTAAGGCGGGCTAAGATGCCTTCCATCTTGCGCTCTCAAAAGGCTCCAGCTGAGAGAAGCAGGCTGCTTTACCAACATGAGATGCACTGTTGAGATAATAAAAAAGGTTTCTAGAATTCAAATCACAGATCCTCTTATCCACCATACACACACAGAGACATGGTTAATCTGAAGGGAACTGGGAATGAAATTACTTCAAATCTCATTCAAAAACACGATCAAATGTCCTCAATATAAATATTCTGTTGAATTTGACTGATGCATTTATACTCTAGTGACACAAACCAATCAACTCAAAATGATCACCTTTGAAGTTGTATTCCTGATGGAGGCCCTGAGCAAGTTTCGTATTTCTTATTTGCATGTATCTCACTACACCTGGCTAGTAAAACCGAAGTCGATGTCTTATTTGGAGCTTCAGATTTGGCCCTCAAATTACCCAGTTTAGGCTTAAGGTAGTTCCAAGACTACCTTAAGCCTGTTCTAATCCAATTACAGCCACCCTGTTAACAATAGCAATATCAATACAATTATAGATGTATCCGAGTAGAAAATCTGTGTAGTTACTACTTTGCCCAGTTATGCCAATGTACATCATACCTACATTTATGAATATTGTATATGTTTTATTCAAATAAGTGAGCTCTAAGCAAAAAGTGAAATAAAGTCAGGCAGGACTAAAGGTCTATTTTGAGGTTTGAGTTATGGCCACATTTCACAATCTCTTGCTTAAAATCTAAAATATTTACACCAGTTAAAGCTGAAATGAATTATTTTATCCTGAACAGACAGTTGTTCAAATTCTACTTAAAATGTATTTGTGAAATGTTGATTTCTTTTCTTTCTTTTTTTTTTTTTAAATGTCATAATTCAATAGACTTGTCAAACTTGGTCTGAAATACTGTACACTCCGAAACTGACAAAAATGTGGGAAAAAAGCTGTCAGTTTTAGTTTTTAACTATGCTGCTATTCTGATTCCAGTATTTTGCTGCAAACAGACTGGATTGTAGCAGCATCCTTAAAATGACATTGAAAATTCAACCACTAGCCTCATCCCATCACATTCCTAAGTGAGATGACCAAATATCGCTCTGTGAAATATCTTTAAAAATTTCTTAGCTGAGTGCTTAATATTTCTTTTTCATTTTAGTTTTACTCATGTCGTTTTTTTATACAGGACCACAGGCATTTATTTTTTATATTTATAAAGGATAAGCTTTCAGCTCTGCACTTGCACAAAGTAACGAATTTATATTTCAAAGTGTATTTATGTACAGACACATAAAAGCCATTGTACTAATTGCCTTCTTTGGAAATGTCATTGAAAATAACGGCTTTTCTTTTTTCTCTTCCTCTGCTCCTTAATATAATAGGTGTGAGTGGAGGACAGTGGTGAAGTGTGTCGCAAGGATGCCAGAATCAAAGCAACTTCATTGCACCACAGAGCGCACAACAATGTTGGCTCTTGCTCTCCTTTTTGCTCTACAGGTAAAACTGCCCTAGCAGTGTTAAAATTCAAGTGTCCCTTTATAGTTATTTGTTTTGTATCCAATCCTATTTAAGCCAAGATGAAATCTATAGTTGGCATACAAATTCTGACTTTTGACAGCATGTATATTTGCTGGGGATTTAAATGTTCTTTTATTTTATTTTATTTTTTTTTATCACTCCTTTGAAAAGCAGGCATTTCTCAGTTGTTGAACCATATTTTAGCAGTTGGTTTTAACACAGTTAGATCAGGATAATATGAACCAATTTTAGAGCAACCCTTTCATTCCCCCAAAATGCTTCATTTTTTTTTTTTTTTTTTTTTTTTTTTTTTGTGAAGTGTAAACCACATTCCGCATTTATTGTTACAGCCAGGCTACAAAAAAAGGGTTCTGTGTTAAATTGGTCTGTGTGCAGCCCAGATCTGTCAAAATCGTTAAATACAGTCCTTAAATGTGCCGCTAAAATGGTTTGCATGCGCTTACCGAGAAAATTTCTACATGTTTCCACAACTGATGGTGCAAATAAGTCAATAGGATTCAAGAACCACATTACTGCTGTGCTCTATGGTTATAAAGCTACAATTCAAGCCCCGCGTGTCAAGTAGGGACATCTTTTAGTGCAGATGATGTTTGGTGTAAATTCACTTTTATCGAGGCAAACAAAAATATGTGCTTGGCAACTGCAGTGCATCTGTGATAAGTGGGAGAAGCTCACAAGTAAATTGTTAGGATTGCTCTTTGGTTGGCAATACATTTTCAGCTTCAAATGCACTTCAGTTTGAAAAGACATGAAAGGGTTTGTGTTTTGTTCATTTGGACCACAAATAAAAAATCCTTTCATTCATAGGTGGGAAAAAAAAGGGAAAAAAAACTTTTGATTTGAGCTTCAAAGCTTTCAAATGGCTATCATTCTGAAATCAAGCTGCAACAACATGTGGAGTTATTCAAATCTTGACATATCTGTCATTGTTAGCTGCTAGTGCTGCATGTTGGTGTACTGAATATGCTCAGTTCTCTGACAGAAAAAAATGGAGCAATTCTTCAGTTTTTTATATATATATATATATATATATATATATATATATATATATATATATATATATATATATTGTATTGTATTGCTAGTCTATCGATACAGGGTCACCAGCCCAATTAAGGTGTTTAAAGCCCCAGTTGTCAGTTTTGTGTGCAATATGGCACTTCCCAGCCTCCATGAGACACTGAGAGAGCTCTCATAGACAAGTGGGGGTCCAACCTTTTAATACTGGCCTAAACAGGTAGTCGAGAAGCAGCCAAGGGGACCATAATAACTCTGGAGAAACAGCTGAGATCCACAGATTAGGTGGAAGAATCTGATGACAGACCTGTTAGTCATGCAGTCCAGAAATATGGCCCTTTTGGAAGAGTGTCATGGAGAGAACCAATTCTTCTTGTCATCTTTCATTTATCATAAAAGTTCTGCTATCAAACATATGGAATTTGTTTTTAATAAGGTGCAACCAAAAAGGCTGAAGCTGAGGACGGAGGTTTAGCATCTTGCACACTGTAAGCCCCCCCAAACCCCCCCTAAATTAGGGTACAGTGTTAGCAGCTGTGGTTGCTAGAATTTTACGATAAAATTCTGGCGACCACAGCTGTTAATATTTTACCCTAAATTAGAGACGTTTCTTCTGTACAGTACAGGCAAACATGCAACCCAATCTCCGATCACAATATTTAAATCCAGACTTTAATCTAATTTGTAACTGATGGTAAGATTTAAGATTTGTTGTTCATATGTGTTATTCATCCACAAGCCTGAGCTGAATTGCAAAACAAGGTTGGACAAAAATCTTAGTCTATTTAAAGTTGGTGAAGAAGACGTACCCCAAATGACTCTCAGCTGTAGATTCTTGAAAATATGGTTCTACAAAGAGTTGATCCAGTTGTCCTTAATGAACATTACATTGTTCAGAGTTTAAATGCTTTTTAATGCAAATTAAATTAAATTAAATCACAATATAGAAAGTTTAAATGGGGCACTAGGGTACTTTTGCAGATATATATGATTACTTCTGTATGATGGGATCTTGCTTCTTACGTAATACATTTTACTTTGGCAGCCAGAAAACCTACTAGCTTTTAAACGCAGAGCTGTCACCACTGATTTTTTGGAGATTACCGTTTTTCTATTTGAAAATAGTTTTGTCAGTGTTACAGTCAGAAAACACCATTTTTCAGATTTTGTCACAAATAAAACGTGACAATAAAATACCCCTGGGCTCTTTTCTTGGTTGTTACTCCATCATTTTGTAAATGCACTCACATCTGAAGGACAAAAAAAAAACAGAGAGAGAACAAACCTGAATCCCCTGAGTCCACAAAATGTGTAATGTTGTTTTTTTTTTTTTTTCATGTTGTCTCTCGCTCCAGGGTGCTGCACACGCTGCTCCATCAGGAGACAACAAGCTGGTTCGAACCACCAGAGTGAGGAGGCAGATCCCAGAGGGGGATCAGTTTCCCTCTGCTTCCTCAGTCAATCAGACACTACGAGAGCAGCCTCTTGTCTTTAACCACGTGTACAACATTAACGTGCCGATGGAGTCTCTGTGCTCCGTCGACCTGGATGCATCTGTGGCCCCAGGTGACCCTCTCATCCCTCTAATCAGCTGGATATTGTGAAGGCTCAATTTAGAGAAATATTCTTGCCATTTTAGAAGCATGTGCAGTATCAATTTTTATTTTTATTTATTTATTTATTTATTTATTTTATTTAAAAAATTGAAGACGTGTTCTTTGAATTGTGCAGATTCTCACGCTGAGTTGGGATCCAGACCTCCAGCTGAGGGACCAGGGGAGCCAGCCGGGCCAACAGAATACGCGGAGCAGACGCTTGATGCAGAGAGTCAGGTGGCTTTTCTGAACATTATTGTGCACTATTACTTTCAGTAATTTCACATGATGACATAAGTTATTTAGAGACGAGTGTTGTTTTTACCCAAATTAAAATCAGTCACTTTTATAGCCCTTGCTGTTCAATTGGGTTCAGTGCACGGAGTCTGTTTGGATTTTTCCATGTCTATTTGCTCTTATTATACAACAACAAAACAATGCGTTTATTACTGACATACATTCCGACAATCGTTCTAAAATTATAATAATAAAACGGCCTCTTGTCTGGAGCCTGGGCAGTTTGAACAATCAGTGTCCTGTCTTAGCTTGCATTTAAGTTACAGATATCTTCTGCCACTTTCCCTCCTGACCTGTCCCCTCCTCTTGTCCTAAGTGGAATTAACAAAATGCAACTGCATAGGATTTATTTATTTATTTTTTTGATTAGTCTGCATTGCTTCATGTATATTTTTCACCTTGTCTGAGAGTGTTGCTGGTGGGGAGAAACCTTACTGTAAGATAAAACTAAAAAAAATAAATAAATCGTAAAACTGTTTGCGGACTGTTGCATATAAAATTCACTCGCAGTAAACATTGTGCTAGTATTAGTGTTTGACCAAAGAAAGCAAGGCAGTTTGCAGGCCTTTCACTTTTTGTATGTGTGTCTCATGGGTAAGATAAGACTCAAGAAATAGTCTGCATCAGGGGGCCCAAAATTTCTCGTATGCTGATCATAATCTTATACTTAAACAGGAGTCTAAAACCTTAATTCTTCAAACATGAACAAACTCAAGAGGACATTCGAAATAGATGACTTTGTTGCCTTGCCAATGCTGTGAAATTCAAACCAAACTGTTGCTCCTTGCTTAGGTGACGTTTACGCACCGCATCAACATACCAAAAGCAGCGTGCAGTTGTCCAGCGATAACCACAATCCAGCAACTCGCCACCAGAGTGGAGATGCTGGAGAGAGAGGTGTCCATGCTCAGAGCTCAGTGTGGATCTGGATGCTGTGGGGAAGGCTCTGCCATGGGTGAGTTCTGTCGCTTCCTGGCGACAACGCATTTAAATAAAGATTCAGGTTTTTTTGTTTTTTTTTTGTGTGTGTGTGTGTTCTTTATGTAGAAAGAAAGAAAAATTGAACAGGTTAACAAAAACAAACAGACAGACAAACAAGTATGCCAAGCAGAAAACACGAGGCACAGACAACATGGTGTTATTGATTCTGATTGGCATTTTCTTTTTACCCGCTCCGTGGAGAAAGGGTGTAGAGAAACCTCTGATAATTCTCCCATCCATGTTATGAGAAGACCAGCGTGGACAGATCCACAGAATAAATGACGGTTAAAGTATCTGCTTCAATGACACCATCACCCATTTCAAATACTCTCTGAAAACGCTCCATCTCCATGGTGAGAAAATGATTTTCTCTGGCAGTCATGATCAGAATCAGAAAGAGGATGACACACTCAGCCGAGGAGGATGGTTGCTGGAATAATCTAATTGAAGCAACTGTACATTTATATGTCCTGACAACTGTTTTCTAGTCTGTGTTTGCAGTTGTCTTATTAAACACAAAGTCTTTGACTTTGAAATGAGTTTAACAAATTTCATTCAACATGTAATGTTTTCTTTCTTGCTTGAAGAAGGTATCAAACTAGAGCCATTTCGTAAAGCAGCCCGTGTCCACTTTTCGTCTTAGGTCGTCTGGACTTTGTCCCGGGTTGCAGCGGCCACGGGAGCTTCAGCTTTGATCTGTGTGGCTGCATCTGCGAGGAAGGCTGGGGCGGCAAAAACTGCTCCGAGCCTCGTTGCCCAAATGACTGCTCCGGTCAGGGGGTGTGCATCGAAGGGGAGTGCGTGTGTGATCGGGACTTTGGAGGCGACAACTGTTCAGAGCCACGATGCCCCTCCGACTGCTCAGGCAGAGGCCTGTGCATCGATGGGGAATGCATGTGCGAGGAGTCCTTCACAGGCGAAGACTGCATGGTCGGACGGTGTCTCAACGACTGCTCGGATCAGGGGTTGTGTGTCAACGGGACGTGCCAGTGCCGCCCCGGCTATGTGGGAGAAGACTGTTCGTTGGTCTACTGCGCCAACAACTGTAGCAAGAAGGGAGCCTGCAAGGAGGGTTTCTGTGTCTGCCAGGATGGCTTTGCTGGAGATGATTGTAACTCAGGTAAGCTAATTTTATTATTATTATTTTTTTTTACCATAAGAAGTATATTGGCATATGTTATTTAACCATGTGAAAAAAAAAAAAAAAAAAAAAATCCCTCAAAAAAGTTGTTCTTCATTAATAAAGATCTGAAAGATTAAATGCTTGAGGACAGAAACACAATAATAATAATACAAAAACACAAAGTGCAACCGAATCCCCCATGGCTTTTTGTTGCAGTTATTCCTCTCATCATTTGAAGATTCTGACGAAAATCTCAGCACTCTGATTAAATCAGTGTTATATTTGTTGTCGAATGCTTTACAGATGATTATTTGTAAAAAACAAATTATTGAAAAGACAAAAAAATTCTTTACAGAAACAAAAAAAAAATCTCGTCTATGGTTGTTGGAGTGCCCAGACCTTTTCAGTACATGCCCTAGTTTAAAAAAATTTGCTATGTGCAAAATATTAAGACTTTATATGCCTAAATATACGAGGTTTTACCATGAGTGTTCAGTTTTAGTTGGAGTTGTCAAGAAGGCAAAAGAAGCAATATAAAACCACTTATTTTGGCTAACGTGGCTTAATAATTAATCATTTGTCATTTTAAATATAACTGGCTAGAAAACCAGTAGATATCATACTAGAGTGGGTGACCAATGAAAAATGGAAAACTAACTTGAAAAGTCTCACAATTTAAAGAGATTAATTTATCATAAAAAATGTTTTGAACCGATACCGTGTGTATCGATTTGGAGAGTAGTCAGTAATTGTTTTTAAAGCTCTGTGTCCAGGGGCCATGCTTTTTAGTCATGTAACACAAGAGTCTTCTCAAGGTTTCAGTGTTTAGCTCACCAAAAAGGAGAGAAACATCTTAATAATGCAGCTTTTTTTTTCTTTTAAGTGAGCTCTTACATTTAGCCTCACTAGTACCGCACAAAGAAAAATCTATTCAGATCATGTTGCACTAGAAAAATAGCAGTTTCAGTTACCTTGAATGAATGAATGAATTTGGCCTTTTCTCATGTTGTTGATCATTTAAATTTACCTTGTCGGTAGAATTTTACTTCTTAAACTCTAATCTTTTTTGTGACTATGATAAGAGATTTGAAGATCTTAACATGCCTGAAGTTAAAAAATAATTAAAAAAAAATATGTGCATGAACATCTATTGAATTAATTTCTCTTAAAAACGGAGAAAAAAAAAACTTACTGTGTTTTGTGTTTAACATAGATTCCACAAGCTTGAGGTGGGAAGATTACAGGCTTCAGCTCCACCATTGTTAGCATACATGCAGGGCTGTGAAATAAACCTTTTTGTGCTGCAAATGCAAGTAGTGGGGGTGCATGACTTGCTGGACAGCAGAAGGTCTAACGATGTTCATTTGTCAAAAGTCACATTCATCTGGGGAGCCAACTGTCACATTAACTGCAGCTGAGACAGTTTCTGAGCTGTGCCTGCCTTTGTTCAAAGCCGGGCCTCAGTGCCAAAATATCTCATCCTCCTCTGCCATTTGAGTTACCTGTCAACAAAATGATGGATGGGGACAGATAGGGGAGCAAGCGATAAAAAAATCAGGAGGGGAAAATGGTATTTCTAAGGCTGATTCATCCGTTCCATTTCCCCGTATTTAATATCTATACCAAGTGAGAGGGACTGATTGCTTATTTATTTTTATTTTTTTTGTAATTAGCCACTGCTTGTAGGGTGAGTTTGTTGAATACAAAACGTGGCAGTTCAATAACCAGAGGAGCACCGGGTGACAGGCTTAAGTGTTTCATGTTATCAGGAACCGAAGAGAAACGGCATGCATTTTTTTCTTCAATTATGGTGGCCTATATTCTCTCAGTATGTGAAATAATGGAGACTGTTGAATTTAAATTGGATCTTTTTAGTCATGGGGTCAGAAACTACACATATATTTTTATGTGAAAATTCTGTGGCACTGGGTACCTAGACAAAAGGTATTCCCCAGTTTTTCTATGACATCTTGTTAAAAAAAAAAAAAAGGTACAGACATGTTTTATTTTATTTATTTTTTTTTAATCATAAGCCCCTCATCACACCTATTAAAAAATTAAGCCTTGCTTGTTTGTGTTTCTCTATAAAAAATGGACTCAAACACTGAGGGGGAAAAAAATGAGTTGTGCTCAAGCTAATTATTCTGGGTAAACATGAGGGAGAAATGATTTGAGAGAGTAGTTATCGATTTATTTACTAATGGGATCAGCAGACTCACTCTAATATGTGGCACAGATTAAAAATCTAGCAATCTATTGGTTGAAATAATAATAATAATAATAAAACAATGTCTTTAGCTGCTTCTGTTCTACTCGGCTAAGAATCCATGTAAGTAGACTTTAATGGGCACATCATGCAAAGAATGACTAGAATCACAGCATATTGTGAAACAAAGAGGGGAAGGGAAAGCTTCTCCAATCCAAAGACAATGAGTGCAGAGGGGTGTGAAACCAGATTTAAGTGAAATGCATAAAGAAAAAGTAAAGAAATGAGCAAAAAGTGAAAGAGAAGCATAATCTGGCTGTATTTTAGCAGTATTGGAGATTGCAGAGTGCAGAATTTGAAAAAAATGAAGATATTCATCAGAGCTCTACGTCAGAACTTGTTCTAGAAATGTGTTTCCATCTCTCCTTTAGTTCTGTATCTCTGTTTTGGAAAAGCCAAAAGCCACTTCAACCGAGAGTAAAACCATTTTTGCAAAACTAAGGAAATTATTTCAAGCTTTGAGATTTCCATCGACTTGAACGTGATACTTCAAAATGAAACAAAAATTTAATTAAACCACACAGCTCTGTTTTTCCAAGACTGGGAGAATGGATATGAACTATTTCAGCTGCCAATAAAAATACTTGTCTTTTCCAGAAGCATTATACAGCACATACAGCGGTAAAACTAGAAGACATTATTAGCCTGCCTAAGTGGGCGGAGCTCTGCTCGGGTTGCTAGGTGAGCGGCTGGGCTCTATTGGGGTTGCTAGGTGAAGGGCAGTGCCTGTCAATTGAGTTTTTTTTTTTTTTTTTTTTTTTTTTTAAACTTCATTTATAAGACCCTGCTCAACTTTCAA